GGGAAAAAATGGGAGGGACTTAGAGGAACAAGTATAAAGGTCACAGGGACAAGAACTAAGGGGGGTGGAAATAGGAGGGAGGTGGGGAACATGGGGGAGGGGTGGCTGGGATGGGAGAAATGAACAGAAAACTGTACTTGAAAAATAATTTAAAAATTTAAAAAACTCTGAATATTTAATAAATTTCATGGTTTAGTTTGTAATGGTAAATATTGATAGTTTTAAGCCACATAAGTAAAGGTTGGTGTCTTCCTAACGTTTCCTAACGTTTAACAGTATAAAGGGATTCTGAGACCAAAAAAATTGAGAACTGCTACCTTAAGACATCCACTGTATATAACAAAGTAACTTCTCTTTTATGCATCTACAATGGGCGAATACAGAAAATAGTCGCTCAATTTACGTTCTGTGGTTAAGATGAGATTACCATTAAAAATTATACAGCATGACAGATGACATGATACTGTATATAGAAAACCCTAAAGATTCCATAAAAAAAACTGTTAGAACTGATAAATGAATTCAATTACGTAGCAGGATATAAAATAAATACCCAGAAATCAGTTGCATTTTTATACACCAATAGTCAACTATTGCAAAAGGAAACAAAGAAAACAATCCTATTTACAAATGCATAAAAAAATACCTAGGAATAAATTTAACCAAGGAAGTAAAAGACCTGTGCTTGAAAAATTATAAGACAATGAAGAAAGAAACTGAAGAAGATACAAATAAGTGGAAGTATGTGCATGTTCCTGGATAGAAAGAATTAGTATCATTAAAATGCCCATATTACCCAAAGCAATCTATACATTCAACATAATTCCTATCAAGATTCTAATGACTTATTTCACAGAACTAGAACAAAAATTCAAAACAATTTTATGGAACCACAGAAGACCCTGAATATTCACAGCAACCTGAAAAAGAAGAGTTGGGTGAATGATGCTACCTGATATCAACCTATACTACAAGGTCATATGTAATTAAACAGCATGGTACGGGCACAGAAACAGATGTGTACACCAATGGAACAGAATAGAAAGCCCAGAAATAAACCCATACCTTTATTCTCAACTAATACTTGAAAAGAAGGCAAAAACATACAGTAGGGTATACAGTCTATTCAATAAATGGTGTTGAATAGATGGACAGATAGATGAAAAAAAAAAAGAAAGTAGATCACCTTCTTACACCATACAGAAAGTAAACTCAAACTGGATTCAAGATTTAAATGTTAGACTCAAAACCATAAACATCCTAGAAAAAAACACAGGCAGTAAAATCTTGGACATTTCTTGTAGTAATACTTTTTCCTGATACATAGCCTCAGCCAAGGGAAACAAAAGAAAAAAATAAACAAATGGGACTACATCAAACTAAAAAGGTTTTGCACAGCAAAGGAAACCATTAACAAAATGAAAAGACAAATCACTGAATGACAGAACATATTTGGCAATGATACATCTGATAAGGGGTTAATATCCAAAATTTATAGAGAAAATACAACTCGACTTCCCCCAAGATAGAGGCGTAGGTGGGAACACTTTGTGTCTTCCCACAACCAAATCTAAAACAAAAAAGTTCTAACAACAATAAATGCAACCAAACCACAGAAAATGTAACAATACGGAGTCCGGAAAACAACAAACTGCTCAGCTAAACCCGTGAGAGGGGCGAAGCCAGCAGCGGAGCAGGTCGGGCAAAAAAGACCCCCCACCTGGGCGGTGCAGGCAGCCCAGGGTGCAGATCCCAGGTGCAGGCTGGCTATGGCCGGAACCCAGGGAAGAGGTGCGGCTGTCTGTAGTCGCTTGCGCATTTGCACGCAGATAAACCAGTGAAGAGGCGAGCGTTGAGACAGATCAAGCAGGCCCCCACGGCTGGCGCAGGGCGGCAGGCTTGCACATTTGTGCCGGGATAAGCAGGCGGGGGCGAGCAGTGAGGCGGACTGGGCCAGAGGAGAGGACCGCGACCATTGCTCCCTCTCTGACCCGGCCCCCACACACAGCATGACAAACCAGAGACCTGGGTGGCCCCACCCTGGTGAACACCTAAGTCACCTCTCCTCATATGTAACAAGCGCAGACAGATCAAAACATGGCTCAAGAACAACTCAGAGCCCCAGAGCCAATAAATCTAAGTGACCAAGAAATAGCCAAACTTTCAGATGCACAGTTCAAAACACTACTGGTTGATTTTAGTCACAAATTAGAGGAACATATGAAGGCTAAACTAATTGAAATGAATGGTAATGCACAGGAAACCAATAATAATGGAAAGGAAACTGGGACTCAAATCAAGGGAGTGAACCAGAAGGAAGGAAAAAAATGACCAAACAGGAAAATATGAAAAAACAAGAATTCAAAAAAAAATGTGGAGAGGCTTAGGAACCTCCAGGACATCTCTAAACGCTCCAACATCCGAATTATAGGGATAGCAGAAGGGGGAAAGGAACAGCCACCAGTGGAAAACTTATTTGAACAAATAATAAAGAGGAACTTCTCCGATCTGGCAAAGGCAATAGACTTCCAGGAAATCCAGGAAGCTCAGAGAGTCCCAAAGAAGTTGGACCCAAGAAGAAACACACCAAGGCACATCATCATTACATCAGCCAAGATTAAAATGAAGGAGAGAATCCTAGAAGCAGCAAGAGATAAGGGGACTGTCACCTACAAAGGAGTTCCCATCAGACTGTCAGCTGATTTGTCAAAAGAGACCTTACAGGCAAGAAGGGACTGGAAAGAAGTACTCCAAGTCATGAAATCCAAAGACGTACGACCAAGATTGCTCTATCCAGCAAAGCTTTCATTTAGAATGGAAGGACAGATAAAGTGCTTCTCAGATAAGATCAAATTCAAGTTCATCTTCACCAAGCCCTTATATGAAATGTTAAAGGGACTTACCTAAGAAAAAGATAAAAAAGATGAACAGTGAAAGGACAGCAAACTCACAGTTATTAACAACCACATCTAAAACAAAAGCAAATTAAGAGGACAGCTAGATCAGGAGTGAACCATAGAAATGAAGATCACATGGAGGGTTAGCAACAGGGGAGTGGGAGAAGAAGGGGGGAGAAGGTACAGAAAATAAGTAGCATAGACAGTAGATAGAAAATAGATAGGGGGGAGGGTAAGAATAGTATGGGAAATATAGAACCTAAAGAACTTGAGACAGGTGTTCATGAACTAAAGGGGGGGAATTGTGGGGGAGGGGTGTGCAGGGTGGAGGGGAACAGAGGGGGGTAAATAGAACAAATGTAATGGCATAATCAATAAAATTTTTAAAAAAGAAAATACAACTCAACACTAAAAACAAACAACCCACCCAATTAAAAAATGGGAAAGGACCCAAATAGACACTTCTCCAAAGAGGACATACAGATGGCCAACAGACGTATGAAAAGATGCTCAATGTCACTGATCATCAGAGAGATGCATATTAAAAACACAATGAGATCCTATCTCACATCTGTCAGAATGGCCATCACCAATAAATTAACAAACAAGTGTTGGTGAGGACGTGGAGAAGAGGAAACCCTCATGCACTGTTGGTGGGAATGCAGGTTTGGTGCAGCCAGTGTGAGAAGCAATATGAAAAATTAAAAGTGAAACTGCTATAAGACCCAATGATTCTACTCCTGGAAATATATCCAAAGAAACCCAAAACACTAATTTGAATGAATATACGCACCCCAACATTTGTTGAAGCATTATTTACAATAGCCAAGATTTGAAAGCAGTCCAAGTGCCCATCAGTAGATGAGTGGATAAAAAAGCTGTGGTACATTTACACAATGGAATACTACTTAGCCACAATGAAGAAAATCTCACCTTTTGTGAGAGCATGGATGCATCTGAATGGTATTATGCTAAGTAAAATAAGCCAGTTGGATAAAAGCAAGCACCAAATGATTTCACTCATGTGTGGAATCTAATGAACAAAAATAATCTAACATAATAGAAACAGACTCATAGACACAGAGAATAGACTGACAGCTGTTAGAGGGGAAAGGTTGGGAGGGCTGGGTGGAAAAGGTGAAGGAATTAAGCAAAGGAAAAAAAAACAAAAAACAAAAAAAACCAAAGACCTCAGACACAGACAATAGTATAGCAATTACCAGAATGAAGAGGTGGTTGCAAGAAGGTAGAAGGGGGTAAAGGGAGGATAAATGGTAATGGAAGGAGACTTGCTTTGGGGTAGTGAACACAATACAATATACAGATGACATATTACAGAACTGTATACATGAAACCTATATGCTTTTAAAAGAATTTTTGAAAAAGATTTTATTTATTTTCAGAGAGGGGGTGGGAGGGAGACAGGGAAGGAGAGAAACATCAAACAGTTGCCAACTGCATGCCCCCAACTGGGGACCTGGCCTACAACCCAGGAATGTGCCCTGATGAAGAACTGAACTGGCATCCTTTACGTTTGCAGGATGACACCCAACCCCCTGAGCTATACCAGTCAGGGCAAAACCTATACAATTTTATTAACCAATGTCAGCAATAAATTCAATAAGAAGTTAAAAAATAATTATACAGCATGAAACAGGCACTCAATGAACATAAGTGATAGAATTAGGACTTAAAGCAAGGTAGCTTCAAGTAGTTGAGACTAAATCAAACTTTTGAAACAAGTTAATAAGCTGTTTATTCAAGACTCTAAAATATTGACATTCATATTTTACTTCGCATGTGTACTTCAGACATGACACTTGTTTTTCTTAAAAACATAGTTTCTATAGTATTTACGTTTAGGTCACAGCCTGAGCATTCACTCAGATACGTTCACCAACATCTAATAGACAGGGTTCACCTGATGAAAACACTGCATAAGAGAAACTAATCTCTGGAACCACATTCCATCTCATGGCTATAGGTGTTAAGTGTTTAACAAACTGTAACAGGCACAAAATAGCATGGAAACAAAAACATACATCATACTTTATGAAAGAAAAACTTTACTGAGGTCACACAATGTATGTTTGCTATACTTACCGTATCCCATATCTGAAGTTTTATTTGTTTCCCATCAATAGTTATCATTCGAGCACCGAACTCTACACCTGAATAGAGTAGAAAATGATTTGTTACACAATGTAGTGGAAATATATTTCACATTTAAAGATTTCTTTAAAAGATATTTAATTCCAGGACATGCTGTATCAGGTGATATATGATAAAACTTGAACAAATACAGCCCCTATCCTTAGTAAACATATAAGCTAAGGAAGAGGTGCTAATAAAACATAAGCTAAAGGAGAAAAGGGAACCCTAGTGCACTGTTGGTGGGAATGCAGACTGGTGCAACCACTGTGGAAAACCTCAAAAATTCCTCAGAAAACTAAAAATGGAACTGATTTGTGACCCAGCAATTCCACTTCTGGGGATTATACCCTAAGAATCCTGAAACACCAATTCAAAAGAACCTATTCACCTCAATGTTCATAGCAGCACAATTTACAATAGCCAAATGTTGGAAACAACCTAAGTTCCCATTAGTAATGAGTGGATCAAAAACTGAGGTACATTTACACAGTGGAATACTATGCAGCAGAAAGAAAGAAGGAGCTCCTACCCTTCGCAACAGCATGAATGGAACTGGAGATGATTATGCTAAATAAAATAAGCCAGGTTGTAAAAGACAAATACCATATGATCTCCCCTATAAATGAAACCTGATCAACAAAACAAACAAGCAAGCAAAATATAACCAGAGAAATTGAAATAAAGAACAAACTAACAATAGCCAGAAGGAAGGGGAAGGGGATAAAAGGGGTGGGAGAGGAAAGGGTCATCAAGGAACATATATAAAGGACACATGGACAAAGCCAAAGTGAGGTAGGAACAAAGGTAGGAGGTGGGGATGTGTGGGGCGGGGAGGAGTGTGTGTGTTGGGGGAAAATGCCAGTATAGTCAAAAAACCAAATGTGATCCTTACATTCCACAAGCTCAGTAACATAAAAACAGCTAGGAATAAAATTCAAGAACCATTATTATTGGTAACAAATAACAAAATTTCTTTAAAATGATTACTATATAAAAATCACTAAAAGGGATACATTTTAACAACATCTTGGTTCCCAGTATGGGCTATCAATGAGGAAAGAAATCTCCAAATTTGTCCACTAGAGATAACCCCTTTTAAAACATATTTCCAGACACTACTCCATGAATGAATAAATACACAGAAATGAGTATACATGCGCTGGCTGGTGTAGCTCACTGGTCGAGTGCGCACCTGCAAATCAAAGGGTCGTCAGTTCAATTCCCAGTCTAGGGCACGTGCCTGGGTTGTGTGCCAGGTCCCCAGTAGAAGGTGCATGAAAAACAACCACACATTGTTTTTCTTTCCCTCTCTTTCTCCCTCCCTTCCCCTCTCTAAAAAAATAAAATCTTAGGAAAAAAAAAGAAATGAGTATACAATCTTATGTAAATAGAACATATAAATGCTGTTCTGCAATTTGTTTTTCAGTCAACAATATTCTATAAACATTATTCCATGGTAAATATTTTTGCCAATAGTAAATATATAAAATTATACCATTAATAAGAACTGAGTAATATTTGTGTATATACATGTGTGTCTATCCGCACACACACCTTACTAAGTTGATACTCTATAGCTACAAATTTAGGTCATTCCCAAATTCACTAAAGGTATGTTCACCAACACATACTGAAATGAACTTTCCAGTATACATTTTCAAATTATGATTATGATTTTAGGCAAATTGAAAATCAAAGGGAATACAAACTTTATAAGATTACTACAAATACTTTGGCTTTTCCTCTTGCATTTATTGTCTCCCTTAGAAGTACTTATTCAATAATTTAAAAAAAGAAGTAGAAAAAGGGGGGATAATTTCAGAACAGCAAAGAGCTGTAAAGACGACTCTGAAAGAAGTCTATCACTAGTATCACACGAAATCTTTACTGCTTGGTGTGTGTTCTATCAGTATTTAGGTCAGCAGGGGTGAAGGAAAGACACACATGGTTTCCAGAAACCAGATGTCTTCCTGGCAGAAAAACAGCCTCTAGTTGCCCAGGTAAGGGCACAATGCCCAGTGTCAGAATTCTATTTCAGCATCTCCTATAATTTCCCCAACTGTGATTAGTGGGGTGAAATAGGAAGGTAATTTGTCCTCCCATGATAACTTGATGGAGTTTTTACTGTATATTTTAATAATTATTCCACCTTAGAGGCATACTCAATACCAAGAAACTAATGTTATGTTTCTCAGACTAAGAGACCAAGGAGTCATGATGTATTAGAATAAATATGGAAAAATTAAAAATTATACCATGTAAAAACCATTACAATGTTTATAAACCCACCTACCTATCTTTATATACATATGTGCTCATTTACTAATATATATGTATATACAGTCATATAGATTGTATACCACAACATGAGAGGGCACCCAAAACAACCACCTACCAATTTACCATTAATGACATAAAATTAGAGTAGTTGAGGGTAAAAAGCGGTGGCAGAGTATGATACAAATGCTCTTTGAAATATCCAGTACTGTCCTGACCCATGTGGCTCAGTTGGTTGAGCATCATCTGGCAAACCGCAATGTCCCAGTTTTGATTACTGGTCAGGGCGCATGCCTACTGTGTGGGACCCACAAAGGGTCCCTGTTGGGGCTTGCGAGCGAAGGCAACAGATTTGTTTCTCTCATACATCAATGTTCTTCTCCTTCTTTTCTCCCTGACCCCCCCCCTCCAAAAAGAGTAAATAACATCTATTAAAAAAAAGAAATGTTCAGTGTTTACTTATTTATTTACCCTCACCTGAGAACATTTTTCATTGCTTTTAGAGACAGAGGAAGGGGGAGAGAAAAACTGATATCAGAGAGAAATGGATCAATTGCCTTCTCATATGTACCACAACTGGAGAACGAACCTACAACCCACTTATGTGTCCTGACTGGGAACAGAACCTGTGACCTTTCAGTCTACAGCACAACACTCCAACCAACCCACACCAGCCAGGGATAAAATACCCAGTATTTTAAAGGAATGTAGTAAAGTACAAAATGCTACTGATTAGCAAGACATTTGACCAAAAAGAAAAAAAAGAAGAAGCCTTTTCATGACTCAATTGCTTCTAGCCCCAAATGGAGAGAGAAATCCTATTCTTCCTTCTGTTGTCATGAATGGAGTTTTAACCACAATATAAAAAAATCTGCATTGCTCCTTGGAATTCAAAATTTCTTCAATCCAACACACAATGTTAAATTTGACAAAAACAACTATAAATTAGAAACAGACCCTTGACTGTTAATAACCAGAGGTGCGCAGGCAGGGCAGGCAGGGCAGGCAGGGCAAGCAGATGCTCCTCTGGAACTGATCTTGAGCGGAGTAATAAAGATACTAAAACTGACTGGCAACTATTCCACCCTAGATGATGAGAAGCTAAGATCACCTCTGCTAAAGGACCGCTGTTATGGTTCCTATTTCCAGCACCTTAAGACACTCTGAAGTTTCCACCCTCCTGTGGATTCTGTATAAAACTTCAGATAATCTAATATATTTCCTTCTGCTTAACTTAGCCATAACTGGATTTGGGGGGTGCTGTGAGTGTTTATAAAGATATATATATACTTTGAATACCTTTACACAATGTAGGTAGGCAGAGGTTGTTGAAGCTTAAAGTGTTTAAATAAAATTTTTTTAGAATCTTTTTTTTTTAAAGATTTATTTACTTATTTTTAGAGAGAGAAAAAGGGAGGGAGAAAGAAAGGGAGAGAAACATCAATGTGTGGTTGCCTCTCACATATCCCCTACTGGGGACCTGGCCCACAATCCAGGCATGTGCCCTGACTAGGAATCAAACCAATGACCCTTTGGTTTGCAGGCCAGTGTTCAATCCACTGAACCATACCAGCCAGGGCTAAACAAAGATTTTTTTCTTCTAAAACAATGTCCAATTTTAAAGAAATGTTACACAGAAATCAGGATTGTAAAAGCTGGGGAATGTCAGAATAAAATTGATGTTTCAACTTAATTTATTGATACGGTTAGGATGGACAATAAAAAACCCCAAAAACTAGTTGAAAGTATTACTATCCAGGAATGAGATAAAAAATGATGGTAGGAAAGAAATATACATCTCAAAGGAAAAAAAATGGATAAGCAATGTTGTTTCCTGAAAAATATCTGATTTCTGTTTTCCTATCAAGTGAAACAAAAACAGACAGTTTCAATTTCAGCTCCAGGAACACAATTTTTTCCCATTTATCTTCTCGCTCTTAGCTGGGTACAGGGCAGGTTTTACCTTTCTATGCTGTGACAAAAGAAAACACTAAAACCTGAAGGGCCCTGGATATTTTTGAAACAAACAAGTAAAAAACCAAAAAACCTTATTTTTCTAGTGGATTGTTAAAATTTAAAAATCTTTTCCCCTAAGTATATATATTCCTGAGAATTCTATTTAGAAAGGCTTCCTTATCTTTTCTAAATAGGAGAAACCATCACCCACTATGCCCTTGAGGCTGTCTTCCCAGATACATTTTCAAATAACAGACAGTTTGGCTGCCAGAGAAACTATGGAACCAAAGACAAGGTCTCATTTCCTGACATTGATTGTCAGGGAGTGACGCTTATTTTTCTCCAAATGTTATTCACTTCCAACCTCCCAGAACGAAATACTCAGCATGTAAATATACATTTTCTAATAGTCTCTAAATCACTGTGGTCCTTGCATAGCAAGTACTTGCATCCTTGCATATTAACCATTTTTGGAACAGCTGACAATTGGTATCTACTAATTGTGCTACCCTAGGCAAGTTATTAAAATCGCTTCTGGGTCTTGCCCTGGCAGGGTGGCTCAGCTGGTTGGAGTATCATCCCATACACCAAAAGGCTACAGGCTGAAACCCTGGTTGGGGTGCATACATGAGACAATCAATTGATGTTTCTCTCCCCCACTTCCTCTCTCCCTAAAATCAATAAACATATCCTTTTGTGGGGATTAAAATATATAAAAAAATAAAATTGCTTCTGTGTCTTAATATTCCTATGTATAAGATGTTATTAATGAAATCCATCTCAT